GTTACTTCAGTTTGCCCATCAGTTTGGGGATGATATGCTGAGCTCATAAATAGTTTGGTTCCTTGCAGTTTGAAGAATTCAGACCAAAAGTTGCTCATAAAAATCCAATCCCGGTCAGAAACTATAGATAGTGGATGTAACACCCCACTTTGATTTTAAAGAAATTCCGGACTTTCCAAAAATCAGTGAAAAATTTTCAAAATCATTTTCGAAAATACAATGGGTGTTAAACAACATTTTTACAACCCAAGTCTTATCTGGGCTCACGGGGATTCATTACCCTGTCTTCACAAACGGTTTTCATTAACCGATATATATCACAAGACATAATTCTCAACATGGATGTAAAATCAATCCATAATACCCAACAATCCGGGTTCCACAAATTTCCAAAACAAGCAAGTCATAAGTTCTGGGAAATAACATAATCAAGTCTCAACAAAAGGGTTCATAAAGCCTTATTCATACGGAAGCAATAAATAAAATTGACCGACCCACTCGCCTCTTCTCGTCACCCAGCTCCTGCTTAACCTGCATCGATAAAGATCAGGTGGGGATGAGCACTAGATGAAAAGCGTGCTCACCACTATGCACATAAATAATACATGTTCAGATGGTATGGTCGCAGTATGAATATAAATCAATCATCATCATGTCTCATCTCCTAATCTCAACAATAACTCACTCATGTGCACATCTATCATTAGCCGCGGAAAGGGGATGCATGAACCCTAACGACGGGAGTGCGTGCCACTGTAATGGACACGGCCTTTCATTAGGTCTTAAGGAGACTTGCCTCGCAAGGGCAACCGTACCGTAACTTAACGGGGACAACCGTACCGACGGCCGTAACAGCTCACATCAGTAGGCCACATGGTTCACATTCATACATAGGTCATACCAACCAAACACTTAAACACACGTATGGCATAGATAATTTTCATAAGTAGAACCCACCTGGTACAGCAAGGAAATATGGCACACAACGGGAGTAGGCAGCGAGCACGGCTCGTCAGACACCTACAATAATTTAATATTAAGATCAACATCTATTTGACCTTAGAGAACAATCACAAGCATACATTGGTCGAACTTGATTCAACCAAGTAGTTCGTGAAGTTCCATGGATATTGGAACACTTGGGCCTAACACTTAGACTTGACAAAAACGTATATAAATACCACATAAAGTCCTAGCATGCAAAACGAGGTCAAACCAGTCAAAGGCACACACAAGGGTTCGAAAGAATATAAGAAAGGCATGGGTCGGGCCCCGGGCTGCTCGCTGGCACGGTCGGGGCGTGGCTGGTGCTGCTGGGCACGCACAGGTGCTGGCGGGTCGCACACGGGCACTGTCTTGGCTGGTCGGGCGCTGGGCGCTGAGTTGCGGGCGTGATACGGAAGTGGTCATCAACCCCGGTGAGTCGGACGATGAAGGTGACGATGGTCTCATTTTATGGTTGGAGAACGTGTTGGAAGAGCCATCTAGTCCTATTTACCGGCCATCATGTGTACGAGATTGGCCAAAAGGATGTGGTCCACGAGC